AGGGCCTGGCTCACAATCATGCAGTAGGGTTTTGGCATCCTACCCTAGGGTCAGATTCACATTCATGCAGTGGGGTAACAAGGGAACATCTCTTTTGATTGGTGCCTCCTTAAATTTTAAAGTGACGCATGGCCTGGCATTCTAGTAATTATCTGAACCCTGCCAAGAACCATGCTGCAGTACTTACTAAGTGCACCCCCAAAGCTTTGTGTGTCATCTAGTGTTCTCAGTGCACCCGTGACTCCAAGCACCCCAGAGCATCCTGTGCCTTCTTGTGACCCCAGCATACCGTGACTCCAAGCACCCCAGAGCATCCTGTGCCTTCTTCCGACCCCAGCATACCGTGACTCCAAGCACCCCAGAGCATCCTGTGCCTTCTTCCGACCCCAGCATACCGTGACTCCAAGCACCCCAGAGCATCCTGTGCCTTCTTGTGACCCCAGCATACCGTGACTCCAAGCACCCCAGAGCATCCTTTGTCATCTAGTTACTATTAGAGCGCCCTCCATGCAGTCTCTGGCACGCTCCGCAGTTGTCTGGCCAGCTACACTTCACCCATCAGTCCCCACCGATCCCTCTCTACCCTCAGGTACGCACGTTCAACCACCCGAACTGTCCTTCTCTCCATGGACACAGACCCCTGTTTGTGGCAAAAAAAGTACATGACCTTTTTTGGGAATTCAAAATAAATGCCACCCCAGCACACAGACACAGGTAACATGCATTACTGCAGCTCATAAGTGGCCCTCACTTTTATGCTCTACTGATCAGCTCCAGTATGGCGCACAGAGGTGGAAGATTATATCAGTAATCAGCAAATACCGTTTTTTTATGGCTTTATATTCCTAACCTCATCCTTCCTTATTCCCTATCTTCAGCGTATACATCACCTTCATCTAGGCAAAGAGGACGTATCCAACCGCCCTGCCTGTGAGATCTGACAAATACTTTTCCTTGGTGCACTCCTTACCGAAAAATCCCTTCTAGTGGGTGGGGGGAGTGGGAGGGTGGTCGCAGTGACTGCGGATGACTCAATGCTAAATCCTGATGAAAGGACCCTGTGTGGCCCCGAAAGTGCTTTTTGTTTATATGACAAGAAACTTCAATAAATGAAGGATTTTGGTGTGCTGGTGACATCTCTACACAGTTTGTGAGATCTTGCGCATGTGCAGACACACTGCGGTTCTCTTACAGGTTCCCTGACAGGGACTTGTGCTGTGCCTGCTCAAACCATGCATGCGCAGACCGTCAAGGGTCTGCCAGGTCCCATAGACCTGGCAGAGAACCGCGGGGGGTCGGTGTATGCCCTGGATTCCTTTTAAAAGGAGAACTATGAGGCGAGTGCTTTTCACTCACCTCATAGTTCTAGCCGACCTGCGACAATGAGACTGTCACAGGTCGGCTCAGTAGATTGGGAGGTGAGGGAACATGTAGCGGCGTTCGCTCACCTCTCGATCCGTGACAGGGGAGGGGCTGGATTCTCCCCGCTCCGATCCGCCAGCGCTTGACTGGCGGAACGGACGGGGGCGGGTACAGCTGGCTCTGCCTCTAGATAGGCAGAGCCAGCTGTTACTCACGCAGCTGGGCAGATCTCGACATCGATGTCGGGATCCGCTCCGGCTGCGGTGTCTCTGTATACCGCGGGCTGTAGCTCGCGCTATACTGAGCTTAGGGTGACGGGAGGACGCTAGTTTGTGTCCTCCCGTTACCCTAAGGAGAAATATGGGGAAAAGCCCTGACCCCATAGTTCTCCTTTAAAGATGGCAGTGTGAGATCACAGGAGGACAACGCTGGGCGGGTGAGTATGGTATCTGAGCTCAACCCAAAGAACCAAAGTAATAGGGGGCTAAAAGCCAAATAACTCCGGGGAGGGGTGAAATGCATCTATAAGTGGTTTTATATTTATAATAATATCAATTAGTAATATTAATTAATATTATAAAAGAATACATTTGTTTTGCAGCATTCGCTTTGGAGGATATACATACTGTATATGTGTTACTATTATTATTATTAATCAGGATTTATAGAGCACCAACACCTTCTCAGCACTTTACAAGGAAGACATTATAGTCACAATACAAAATCAAGACAAGATCACATGTATTTCATTTATAATTTACCGTATTAGTCACATATATCGGATAGAAAATTTCTTTTTTTGTATTCATCTTTTCCCGTTTCTGTAACTCATCATAAACAGCCATTTGCGGATTATTATTATTATACAGGATTTATAGAGCGCCAACAGTTTGCGCAGCGCTTCACAATATAAGGAAGACATTACAAGACAAGACGGTAAGGAGGGCCTGCTGATCCATAAAGTGATCAATACTTTTAGCGATTAATCAATAGCGATTTTAGCATTGCGATTGAGCTACTAAAAATCACCGGCGTGCTCCCACCCCAACAGACCCGCGACACGTCGACCTGCAGAGTAATAGCTGAGAGTGAGCGCATGCAATGTATACAGGGTGATAGAAGGTACCTGCACTATCAACAAGCAACAATCCCAGCAGCAGGAGTACCACAGAGGAGGTCATGTCAGCAGCAACTATCTGCCACCAGGAAACGCGACTTCACACAGCGACCGCGTCCGGAGCGCTCCTTCTACAGCCGAGACGGGAAAGAGACGACTCTTCCTATAGAGACAGCAAACAACACTGAGAACCTGCTGGATGGACATCCTACAACTGAGCAACTTTGACTTCCTTGTTGCTGTCAGCTGACTCGGCCCCTCCCCTCTGTCAGTTCGCAGTGAGATGGCTTTCGCTGGAAGCTGCAAGGGAGGCCTCTAACCGCCACCCCGAGATTAACCCCTCGCTGGCCATCGGGCCAACACCCAAAGCTCAGCGTTATTGGGGGTTACAAAGTTACATAGTTGTTAAGGTTGAATAAAGACACAGATCCATCTACGTGTGTCATTGTGAATGTGCAGAGCTCTGCATAATGTGTGATGTTAGCTAGTGTGTTTTTAGTGTGGCAGGAAACCCTTCTTAGTTGTCCCCATTGGAAGACTTCCCCTCTCTTTCTGTTCTGGTGACAACTCAGAATTTTGGATCTCCTCTCACTTTCATTCCCGGTGACAATGATAACCAGGACAATTAGAGAAAGTGATCTCCCGGGAAAGGACAGGGAACGCTATAAAAACCTGGCAATGGCGTTAACCCCTCACCATTGTATCCAGGCAATGTTTTGCTTTTAGTAAAAGCCGACCTTTACCCCCTTTCATAAAAATTCACATCAGCGCGCAGCTCGGCATGCCGATTAGGGTTGCCACCTTTTCTTCAAGTGAAACCCGAACACTCCAGTGCCGTGCGTCAATTTTTGGAGAATATAGAGGGAGTAAGGAGACCAGCTTTAGAGGACTACAAATCCCAGCAGTACATTATACAGCAATACAAAATAATATGAAGCTGCATACTCTGTGTTGTTCTGGGTCGGCGCCCTTATGTCTCCAGGTGGCCTGTGCGGGCTCTCAGATGGGGTGTGCGACACTCAGATGGACTGTGCGACTCTCAGGGCTGTCTGGGCTATGTAGTCTCAGTAGGCATTCGCCGGCGGGTAGCACGGTGTTGGGGAGCAATCACAAATGCGGCTGCCGAGGTCCCCGGCAAGCGCGATCTTGGGCGGCCGCATCGGCCTGAAACCCGGATCTTTCTCTGGGCACCTGTAGATAGGCACAGGCTCCCCGCAGTTAAGCGGAAGATCCGGTTTCAGGCCGATGCCAAGATCGCGCAAGCCGGGGACCTCGGCAGCCGAATCTGTTAGAAAATGTAAAGTGCCGGTGTCAGCGCTGAGTGTCTTGTGTCCGGGTGCCCGCTGGCTGGACACCCGGACACAAGACTCCAAAACTGGACTGGTGGCAACCCTAATGCTGATGTGAAGTCATGTGACAAAGCAGGGTTAGCCAATCTCCAGCTGTACTCAGACTAAAAATCCCATCATGCATCTGACTCTGGGAGTCATGCTGTGGCTGTCAGTCTTGCAATGCCTCTTGGAACTTGTAGTTCCACAACTGCTGGGGGGCCAGAGTTTGCCCCCCCGATATAGAAAATAATTAAATATTTTTTCTCTTTCGTACCTTTACTGGGTTCCCAGTTCCTGGTCTATAGAGGCTGGTGACGTAGCCCTGGCCTTACAGATGCCCCCCTAGGGAGGCCACATCACCAGTGCCTTCCTGACAGAGCTACAGTCCTAAATGTGAGATCTCCTGAGGAAAGCCGAATTGTTTTATAGATGATTATAGTGGCATTTGGTACATATGAATCTCATGAACCTCATTGGGTGTATGCGCCATGTGACCCCAGGATTTGCCACATGCTCCCTCGGTGTCCACTTTAATGATTCCTCGAATAAGGAATTTCCTATATGCCGGGTGTCATTCTCAGTATCTGTCCTTATTCTGTATGTATGGACTCTGCACAGTACCACTTCCCTTGTCCTGTATTCCGTGTCATTCTCGGTATCTGTTCTTATTCTATATGTATGGACTCTGCACAGTACCACTTCTCTTGTCCTGTATGCCGGGTGTCATTCTCGGTATCTGTTCTTATTCTATATGTATGGACTCTGCACAGTACCACTTCTCTTGTCCTGTATGCCGGGTGTCATTCTCGGTATCTGTTCTTATTCTGTATGTATGGACTCTGCACAGTACCACTTCTCTTGTCCTGTATGCCAGGTGTCATTCTCGGTATCTGTTCTTACTCTGTATGTATGGACTCTGCACAGTACCACTTCTCTTGTCTCGTATGCTGTTATAGTGGGCTGTATTCTGGGTTCTCGGTATCTCCTTGCACAGTATCACTTCTCCTGCACTCTGCACTTCTCTTCCTTCATCTCTATGAACACAGCAATCAGCACAATGAATTCCCTCCATGTGAGCTGTAAAGGCGGGAGGGGCGGAGTGAAATCCCTGTGCGGGCCTCAGTCCCGCCCCCTTTCCCGGGTAACCCAGTCACATGACTCTCCCGGTTGCCATGGAGACAGAGTAACACGGAAGCCGCCCAGGAGTGAGCAGGAGGTCTGAGCTGTGCTGAGTATTATTACATTGTATCTAATATCAGATATTACTATAATGATAGAGATTTGCTGCGTGTGATATTTTCTTATTATAACAGTATTACAGTGTTATAGAATGACATCATATGTTATATTATTATATGACTGTTTTAATTCGATAGGATATATTTATATGTTATTCAATCATTATATTCTTATATATTTTTATAATTGTATTATCAATATAAATTGGCGCCGTGTGACATTTCATATATTATGATATATGATTATTATAGCGCTATACGGCTACATTATATGTGACATCATCGTTGTATCGCCATCAATTTGGTTTATATGTTCTATCACATTGCAGTGTCACTAGACCCAAGGGCGTCCCGAGGCCGGGTATCACGCGCTCTCCAGACCGGTGAAAACTCCAACTCCTCGAGATCTCCAACCACCTGACTTCCGGTTTAGTTAGAAGAGGTTTGGGCGAGAAGGCTGTACTGCACGTGCGCCACCCGCGGCATTTCCCTATGCACATACTACACAGCAATAAAGTATTACAATGAACTAGGTTCAGACTAATCCAGCACGTTATTTTTCTGAGTTGCCCCACTCAATATGGCCGCCGCTTCCACCTCTTCTAACTAAACTGAAAGTCAGGTCGTTGGAGATCTCGCTGCATCGTCATCGCGCATGCGCGGCCATCTGCTTGACGCCTGCTGGCCAGCAGAGAGAGGAGGGGACCGCCGGGTCCCCTCCTCTCTCCTGACACTGCCATTAATGTATTCACCTAAATCCTCCCCTGTGTAGATTCCTACAAGCCCCTAGACTGCTGCCGGGTGCCGCCATCTTGGATATGACTCAGATCTGTCACTCTATACTGCTTCTCCCCCGCACCTACACAGAAGGTAATGTAGTTGTGTGAGCGGAGGGTCAGAGGAGCCAGGCCAGCACTGACTTTAAAGGAGAACTATAGGGACCAGAGCCCCTCCCCCTCCTTGCATGTCATAGTCCTCTCCTCTAGTGGGATTTCCTAATTAAAGGAGAACTATGAGGGGGAGGGGCTTCGGCTCAGACGGCACATAACCGATTAGATGTGGTCAGAAATTCCCGTCAGATCAGATTGAATGTGATCACACCGCACACTTCACAATGCTGAGCTGATAACACCTGGGTGCTCTCACCTGGGACTTGTAGTACACATTCTGCCACCAGAGGGCGCCGTACTACCAGTTTTGGTCGTGTGCATGTTTCTTCTAACACAGATATCCGCAGTGTAAGCGCTCCGATGGGGAGATACAAAAAAATTCTCCTTGTATTTCACATGAGAGATGTTTCCAAATATTAGTGTTCAGCATTTTCCCTGCAGCCTCCAGTATGATGAAACCATTTCAAAGCAGCACAACACACACAACACACAGAGAACACACACGCAGACACACAGCACAGAGACACACACAACACACACACACATACAGACAACACACACACACACGGGCAACACACATACACAGAGACAACACACACACACAGAGACAACACACACACACAGAGGACACATACACCACACACACAACACACCACACACATAACACACACCACACTGACACACACACGTTACGTTGCAGTGTTGTGGGATGTAATGCACCATGGGAGATATGAATTTTGATCCGTGATTGAATGGACTTTATTCTTTTCATTCATGACGCCATTGCTGAATAATCAAGAATTGGGAATTCAGCAGTTTCGCTCCTTTGATGCAAATTTCTGACTCTGCACCTGCACAGAATCCGGGGCCATTGACACTGCTCAGTGTCCGGACGCCCTTTGTAATCATTTTCTATATAGCTCCCAAGAGCCCGCCCACTGCTTGCATCAGAATCAAGGGCTCTTGAAAGGAGTACTGAGGCAGGGCATTGTGATGCTTTCAGGAAGCTATGTACAGCACCCTGCTGGCCCCTCCCACCAGACATGATTTGCCTGCATTGTATAGAGAAGCACAAAGTCAAGTGATGACAAAATTATATGTGGATGAGGGGGGAGGGGGGACACGGGAAGGCAAAATATAAGCAGATTAAACTTCAGCTATTGTAAAGTGTTCCTTCCAACTCAGTAAGCGACCCGTGTATTCTACATCTGCAGGACTTTAGCCCACAACAGCAGGAAGATGGCCATTCCCTTTTCGAACACAAACTATCGCATCCCTCGGGGGTTTGCCAACCTTCTGGAAGGGCTGACCAGGGAGGTCTTACGGGAGCAGCCGAAGGACATCCCGCTATTCGCCAACAAATACTTTTTGGATCTTCTGAAAAACCGGGAAGGTGAGCGGTTACCTGGCGCCATTGCCGGACTTTGTGCATAGATATTAAAGAGAACCTGTATTTGGATGATGACAGAAAGCTATACCAAAAACTGAAGAGGAACATCAGGGAAGAAATACCTTTCCTGGGGAACATGCTGCTCCTGGGTCCCTTCAGTTGGTACTAAAATAAAGTCTTGCTATACGGGAAGATGCTATGTGCTTACCCACCTCGGCCCATGCAGATGTGTGGAATGAATGCTCCCCTGCTGCATGCTGTGGTCCCTCCCGCCGGCTTGTATGTCACTACAGGAGGTATGGAGGAGGAACCACGGCATGCAGCAGGGGTGCAGGTGTTCAACACATCTGAAAAGGATGAATTCCTGCAGTTGCCGGGGATCAGCAAAGTGGTGGAGTTTAAAGACATAGGCCCCAGAAAGGTAAGTATGGATGCTCTTCTTTAAGGTTCTTTTCACACCTAGGCGTATCGAATATGCGCGTTTGTAAAAAGAAACGAGGGCTACTTGGCTGTATCCCAATGGAAACGCGCAACAAAAACGCAGCAAAGAAGCTCATGTACCTTTTCAGGCGTAGGCCGTTTTGTAGCACGTTCAGACGGGCTGAAATACGGCAAGGTGTGAACCATACCCATAGAAAACAATGGGATTTTCATGTTTGAGCGTTTTGTAGAGCGTTCGTAGAGCGTTGAACGCGCTACAAAACGTACAGGTGTGAACCAAGCCTTACAGACAGGCTTTATAGTAGTGTCAACTGAAGGGACCGTGACGCAGCATGTTCTCCAGGAAAGGTTAGTGCACAGCATCTTCTTTTAGGATTGGGCTTATTTCAATGTCCACCCTGATGGTGAATTCTCTTCTTTGCAGCAATGGGCTTCGATCCAGCGGAATGGGGCGCGTCATTAGAGGACAGGTTCTACAACAATCACTCTTTCCAGGTGAGCCGGTCAGTGAAAGGGACCCCGCCAGCCATTCTAAGTGTTTAAAAGGAAACAGTCCGGCTTTGTTAACCAGAAAACTCACCTCTGCGCGACTCTCTGAAAATAGATCAGAACTCCTACTCACCCAAATGCTCCTGATGCTTGTCCTGATACCAGAACTTCCGGTAACAGGAAGCCGGGGCGGCGAATCATTACACGTCGCCCAGATTCCTGATTGGTCAGAAAGCTGGCTTCGTGCTCCCTCGTCACGGCCAATCCGGCAGCCAGAGGCGGGTAATGACTCGCCCCCCCAGCTTCCTGGTTGGCTGCAAAGCTGGCTCCATGCTCCCTCGTCACTTGGTGATGGGGGACCATGGAGCCGGCTTCACAGGCAATCAGGAAGCAAGGCGGCGTGTAATGACTCACCACCCGGCTTCCTGATTGTTCGGGAGACTGGCCAGTCAGGAAGCTGGGCAGTGAGACTTCACCTGCCCCCCGGCTTCCTGATTGGCCAGAAAACTGGCTCCATGTTTCCTCGTCATCTGGTGATGAGGGAGCATGGAGACGGCTTCCCAGCCAATCAGGAAGCCGGGCGACGTGTAATGACTCACCACCCGGCTTCCTGATTGTTCGGGAGACTGGCCAGTCAGGAAGCTGGGCAGTGAGAGCTCACCTGCCCCCTAGCTTCCTGTTTCCTTGTCATCTGGTGATGAAGGAGCATGGAGACGGCTTCCCAGCCAATCAGGAAGCCGGACGACGAGTCATTACACGCCGCCAGGCTACCTTAATGGGACTTTCGGTATTGGTATTTGGTATGGGTGAGTACCAAAAAAAAATATTGGTACTCGTACTCAATACCGAAAAACCGATATCGGTGCATCCCTAGAATAAAGTAATGAAAGAAATGTTGATCACACAATAAGAACAACTCAATTAAGAGCCAATGACACTTTAAAGTCAAATTTAAGAAAACCCCCCCAATATACCATGGGGGGAATTTATCAAAACTGGAGCAGCTGTGCATGGCAACCAATCAGCTTCTCTCTTCAGTTTGTTCAGTTAAGATTGGAAAATGAAAGAGAGAAGCTGATTGGCTGCCGTGCACAACTGCTCCAGATTTTGTCTGCTCCAGTTTTGATAAATTCCCCTCAGTATGTTTGTTCTGTGTTCCAAATCACACAACGTATCGAAAAATTATTTGTAAAAACATTTTTTACCTTTTCTAGATGTTTCTGTGTAGCGGGTATATGGGCAGACTGCAAGTTATTGTGAACACAGTAAGATCAGTTAGGGTCTGGAACTCACTGCCACAGACAGTGATTTCAGCAAAGAATGTGGAATTGTTCAAGAAACTTTTGGACGATTTCTTAAGGGACCGTAATATACAGGGGTACAGGTAATATACAGGGGTACAGGTAATATACAGGGGTACAGGTTATATACAGGGGTACAGGTAATATACAGGGGTACAGGTACTATTCAGGTGTACAGGTAATATACAGGAGTACAGGTACTAAAGTGAGTCAGAGAGAATAGGTTGGACTTGATGGACTAATGTCTTTATTCAACCTCAAATACTATGTAACTATGTAAAGTGAGTCAGAGAGGGGACAGGATGAGTTTCCCCTCATTACCATACAATGCTTCTAGATCTTTAACCTTTTGTTAGGACGGATAAATCTAGTTTACAACGGATAATGAGATCTGCCAGCCCAGTACAGACGGGGTTAATTATGGATTAACTCCCCAGCCCCCCTCCGTGATATTACAGAGAATGGAAAACCTTTCGGCTTTGGAGTTTTCAGAAAAGAGCAAGCAATGTTTTAAAGGAGAACTATGGGGTCAGGGCTTTTCCCCATAGTTCTCCTTAGGGTAACGGGAGGACACAAACTAGGGTCCTCCCGTCACCCTAGGCTCAGTATACCGCGAGCTATAGCTCACGGTATACTGAGACGCAGCAGCTGAAGCGGATCCCGACAATTGTGCCGGGATCCGCCCAGCTGCGTGACTGACAGCTGGCTCTGCCTATCTAGAGGCAGAGCCAGCTGTACCCGCCCCCTCCCCCGTCCGTTCCTCCAGTCAGCGCTGGCGGATCGGAGCGGGGAGGGGGGAATCCAGCCCCTCCCCTGTCACGGCAGAGAGCTGTGACAGGAGCGAGAGGTGAGCCAACGCCGGTATGTGTTCGCTCACTTCCCGATCTACTGAGCCGACCTGTGACAGTCTCATTGTCACAGGTCGGCTAGAACTATGAGGT